CAGCCCGCCCTCCGGGATGCCCCCCCCAGCCAGAGCATCGCCGCCGCCGCCGCCTGGGTCCGGGAGCGTGTGGGCGACCAAGGTAGGACGGGGAGGCCACCCTCATCCCCACCCCCGCCGGTCCCCCCGCGGCTCTGACGACTTCTGCCGGAGCAGGGCTCTGGGGAGGGGAGCAGCCCCGGCTCACCCCGTCCCACTTCCCCAGGTCTTTGGGGGCTGGTGAACAACGCGGGGACCGCCATCCCTACCGCTCCTAACGAGTGGCTGACCAAGGACGACTTTGTCAAGGTGCTGGACATCAACCTGGTTGGCCTCATCGAGGTGACGCTGAGCCTCCTGCCCCTGGTGCGGCGGGCACGGGGCCGGGTTGTCAATGTGGCCAGTGTGTTGGGCCGCATCTCCTTATGCGGCGGGGGGTACTGCATCTCCAAGTTTGGTGTGGAGGCCTTCTCCGACAGTCTCCGGTAAGTCTGGCGCAGTAGCCAACGCTCCGGGTCTCCCAGTTTGCTTTTCTGGGCTTTGGCCAGCAGAGCCTCCCTCTGCCAAACCCCTTCCTCGTGCAACCGCGAGCGAGCGCAGGCAGAGTTCATTTTAGCTGCCGCCGAAGCACAAGAGGAGGGGGTGTGGGGCTGCCTAATGCGTGGACCAGACAGCAGGACACCTTGTGCCACAGCTACGGGGCTTGGGTCCCATGGGAGCGATCTCCTGCCCAAGGGGACCCTCGCCTGCCACTGGCAGCCTCTGCTCGCTTTCCGCCCAGCAGGCCCCCCCCCCTGCCACGGGCAGCCTCTGCTCGCTTTCAGCCAAGCTCACACAGAGGCAGCCCCGGGGCAGGGAAGGCCAAGGACTTGGCAGAGCTTTGATTTCATTCCCCTGCCTGACGACTTCCCAGCGGAAGGGAGGCTGTGGCCACACCGCCTGCCCCAGCGCTGAGCCTCCTCCCTTGGACCTCGCCCCCGTACCGGATCCTGCAGGCAATGGCTGCGCGGTCCCGAGGTTTGCTTTGGCCCCTTCCCATCCAGGCTCAGCACACGTTTGCTCACACGCCACCTCGGACACGTGCTGGGGCTGGCGCGGGGTCTGCTGGGGTGGTCAGGCTCCCCACCGTACCTCCGGCACAAGGCTGCCGTGCATCCCGCGCAGGAGCCGGTGCCCGCACGCAGCCCGCACTGGTGGGCGGCAGAAACATTCGGGTGCTGCTCCTGCGTTCCATGGGGCTCAATCCCTTCTAGGCTTGAGATGCGTGACTTCGGGGTGAAGGTCAGCGTGATTGAGCCAGGCTACTTCAAGACGGCGTTAACCCGCTTTGAAAACCTGGAGAAGAGTTTTCTTTCCATCTGGGAGAAGCTCCCGGAGGAAACCAAAGCGAGTTATGGGGAGGATTACTTGAAGCACGGTAAGTGCCTCACCTAAAGGTTAAGCAATGCTGTTTCTCTCCTGACACAAGGCACATTCCCGGGGCCACAGGGTGTCCCACCACCCCATTGTCCCACCGAGCCGTTTGGCTGTGTTTGGCTTGAATATCTAAGCCCGGCAGCCTGACTGGCGCTTTCTGCCTCCGCAGCTTTGCTAACAGTCAGGAAGACTGTGGATAAAAGCAGCTCCAGCCTGACGCTGGTCACAGACTGCATGGAGCACGCGCTGACCAGCCGCTTCCCGCGCACCCGCTACTCCGTGGGCTGGGATGCCAAGCTGCTCTACATCCCCCTCAGCTACCTGCCGTCAGCCCTCACAGATGTCGTAGCCACCTGGTTCTACCCCAAACCTGCCTGGAAAACCTAAGGCAGGGGTGTGGCGTAGGCAGCCAACAGGCAACAGCAGCCAGGGCCCGGCAGCGCAGGCTGGGATCCAGCATCGCCCACAGCCGAGGCTGGGCCAATAGGTTCCTGAATTTCTAACTCACTACGTCACAACCCTCTGTCCTCTGCTAGCAGACCACTTTGCTTCTGAATAAAGACAACTCCTCCTCCCCGCCTGGCAGGCCTTGGTTTCAGCCTCAGCTGGGACTGCGGCGCCGAGGCCATGTCCCAGCTCCTCCAACAGCCAGCACCGCCGCCGCCGTGCCGTGGCATGCTGCGGGCGCTCCCAGGGTCTCGCTGCTCCCCTGAGGGCCTACTCCGTGCAGGGTCCATCCCCCGCTGAGCTGCGAGAGCCGCGCTCGCCCAAGCTGGTGCTCCAGGAATTAACGCACATGAATAAAAACCAGAGCCCTACACCCCCAGGCAGATTTCCCTCCGGGCACAGGGCTGGGCAGCCTCTGCTCAGTCCTCCTCCTCCTCGGTGCCCCTCGGGCATCGCCTGCTTCTGCGCAGCTCTGCTGACCTGCAGCGCCCAGTCAGTGAGGGCTGCCCCGCTGCAGCAAACCGTGCCTGGGCATCGCTGTGGCTGGGGACACCCCTTTGCCTATGCCCCAGCAGCTTTGCTGCCGCCTCGTGCAGGGCCCATCCCGGGGTGAGGGAACGAAGCCAAAGCTGGGCGAGCGCAGCGCAGCCGGCGAGAGGGAGACGTCTGGGGCTGGGTGCTGCTGACCGTGTCTGGAGAGATCAGCCAAATCCGGCTCTGTGGGGTGGCTGGATCCACCCTGCCGGCACAAACAGCCACTAAAGGCCAAAGCAGAGCTCCAGGCACGCGGAGCTGTGTGAGGCGAGGCCGTGCATTGCAACTGAGAGATGCAAAACTTTCTCCAGCTGCTGCTGCAATCCTGCCCCTCCTCCAGCGTGTCCCAGAGCAACCAGGGTACCACATCTCCAAGCGTGGCGTGGAGGCCTTCTCTGACACCCTCAGGCACGGGGCTGGCAGCCACCGGTGGCCCCGTGCTCCCCTGTGCCGGTCCTTGTCCAGCAGCTGGGCACGCGTTGGCAGGCGCGGGCGTGCTGGGCGGCTCTGCCCCACTTTCCCCACGCAGGGTTTTATGTTGCTCCCAGTAACATCCTTCCCCATGGAGAGCAGCAGCGAGCCACAGTGGGTGTTTATGAAATACCAACGTGGTTGTCCGCAGATTGGGAAACTGAGGCATGGCTGGAGCAGCAGCTGTGCAACCAGAGGAAGGGTTTCGAGAAAGCCTTGAGCAAGGAGAGGGCTCCCCTGCACCCACCTGGGGGACAATGGGGTGCCCAGGGAGGGTCACGGGCTCCCCCTCACCTCGCGCAGCTCAGTCTCCCCCCAGCCCCTGCTTGGCTCAGGACGGCGTCTGCAGGGCTGACGGCCGCTCCCTGGCCAGGCGTGAGATGCACCCCTTCAGGGTGCAGGCTTCCATCATTGAACCTGGCGGCTGGTGCAGGGCCATCGCAGGCGCCAGCAGTGCTCTGTCTCCCTGTCACTGCCTCATGCTGGAGGGACGCTGCTGCCCCAGGACCTGGTTAAAGATGTTCTTCCCTTCAAGCCTGCTGCTTTCTGTGGCACCCACCTTTGGGCCCTCCAGGCTCGCAGCTCCCTGTCTGATGAGAGGCGAGAGCAATTGCTCTTTGCAAAGGTCCCCAAAGCTCTTTGTGCTTCACTCCAGCTCTGCCGGGACCCCCCCTCTGCTGCATCCCAGCTCTTCCCTGCGTTTGTCCAGCTCAGGCTGCAGGGCCTCTGCTCCTCAGCTCCCCATCTCCTACCTCGCTGCCGCACAGGTAAGCCCGAGGGCCGGCTGGCAACAGCTCCGTCCTCCCTCGCTGCTCCGGGGCGCTTCGGCGCTGGCACAGCCTCCCACCCCTGCAGCCTCCCAGCTCTTCCATGGGCGACCTCGGGCTCAGCCCCAGCAGCCGGCGCTCCCTTCCTGGCACCACGCCGGCAATCGCGTAGCCCGTTGTCCGCAGTCTCCTCTGGCAGTGGGTGTCAGGTCCAGCACAGAGAAAGTCGCAGCCGTTGGGGACAAGCTCTCGGCATGGCCGGGGCAGGCTCAGCGCTCAGCTCCGCTGCTGGAGGATGGGCTGGAAAAGGCACCGTTGTTACGCAGGCGGTGACACTGCCAGCCCAGGGAGCTGGCCGCGCGGGCGATGACTCATGCATTGCTCGTACCTTAATTAAGGGCTGATTAGCGGTGACTGGCTGGGGGTTACGTCCCTGAGGTTGTGCACTTGCCTGCAGGACAAGAGCAGCACTAGCAGCAGCCCCGCTCCCACCAGCACCGCACTGCTCCCGCACGTGCAGAGGCTGAGCCCACGCGAGACCAGGATACCCCCAGGCTGCGACGGAGCTCAGGGGAACCAGGAGCTACAGCAGGACTGCTGACAGCACGTAGAGCCCTTGTGCAAGCTGCGTTACAGCTCACCGAGCTGTTTCCCCAGCCAAGAAAGCTTTCCTAAACCCTTTGCTTGGCTTAGCAAACCAGTAAGACGCCCCCAGCAGCCCCCACACATCACGATTCAGGCCCACGTGTCCCCAGGGGCCAGGCTGCGCAGTGCTGAGCTGCCAGGAGGCAAAACCGCAGCCTTGGCTGCACCAGCCCGGAGACCCCTGCGCCCGCATCCCTCCGGCAGCACCCCAGGCTGGTGCTGGCTGCTCGGCGAGGGAAGGGCAGGAGAACAGCAGATCCCCAGCACTGCTGCCGCCCACAGCCCACCACGCTCAGGGTCTGTGCTGCCGCCTCCTCCTCGGTGGGGCTGGGCTGGCGGCAGCCGGGAGGGACCGGGCACCCCTATTTCACCACGGAGCAAAGCTCTGGCAGGTGGAGGAGGAGCCGTCCAGGCCCGCGGGGTGCCATTATCAGGCTCTCCTCTTCGCCTTCCTGTGTGCCACCTGTCCAACCCCCGATCCGCCAGGTTCCAAAGGACCCGCTCGGATCGCAGCGGACGCTTTCTGGAGAGGAAACAGCCTTTTCCCACTTATCGCCAGACAAAGAGGGGAACCAGACCCTTAGGGAGGCCAGGGGCTCCCGGGCACACGTTTGGGTGCCAACAGCCTCAGAGTGCACCGAGCATCGCAGCAGGGATGGGGAGAAGGGCCCGAGCCACCTGCCCAGCTCCCCAGGGCTCAGCCGGCTTGGAAATGCAACCAGCTCCCAGGCCTCGCTGTCCCTGCCAGGATCAGGAGCCCTTGCGCAAACCCCAGCAGCAAAGGTTTGCAGCACCCAGGTCGTTCTCAAGCCGAGATTTCGGTGTGGAAATTTTCTGACCTGTTAAATGGAAACAGAATGGCATCCCTGCCTCCCAGGGGAGGCAAAGCCCCCCAAGCCATCGGGCGGCAGAGCAGCCCTTCGCGGTCCCCGTCCCATGGCTGAGCCGAAACGCGCCCTATCGCGCTTGGGGCGAGCACAAAGCCGCCAGGTTCCTGTTTGCGACCTGGGGCCTTGGTCCCGCTGGGGCTGGGTACCTGCACGCGGGGTCACCAGCACCGGGCTTGTTGTTGTGAGACCCGACTTATCAGTGCCCTCGTGCTTCCCCGCTCCAGCCGTGCCTTCCTTCCGAGCCGATTGTTGATCACAAAGTCTTGTCTGCACTTGAAAAGGAGATTTCCTGCAATTGTTTTGCAGGACTTGCAGCTTGATGCAAAATTTTCTGCCTATCAGCCCCCTCCCCAATGCCAGGGCAAGGCTCAAGCCCCCTCCCTTCCCCTGCAAAACTGCCAGGCAATCACAGCTCGATGATTAATTGCTGCTTGGCCAGAGGTATTTCTGTGGCGATAGCCATCTGCCATCAACTCCTGCGACAGCTCGGAGTGACGGGCAGCTCTGACCTGGCAGAGACGTTCAGCTTTTGGCCCTTTTTCCCCCAAAGGAAACCCTGAGCTCGCCCCAGCATCGTATGAGCATCAGGAACAGTCAATGGCACGTTCCCCTTAACCCACCCTCACCCCTTGGGATTCCCAGACCCGGGGGAGGACCTGGCTCAGCCGGGTCCATCCCAGAGGACGTGTTTTCCCCTCCTTCCCACAGTCACAGCGGGACCTGGGCAGGATCCGGTCCCTGAGATCAGTGGGGCTGCAGCAGCCGGGTCCCACGGGAGCAACAGCAGAGGGGACCTGGCCAGGGGAGCCCCGAGGAGCCCTGCTCCATCCCCAGGCACTCGCAGCTTCGACACCGACACCTGCCCGGGGCCTCCCTGCGCCCGCTCCCAGCCCTGCGGCAAAATCAAACGGGAGCCCAGCCCTGGGGCTGGAAATCAAGTCAAATGTCACCCGTGCTGGGCTGTCTCAGGATGTCGGACCACAACGGTCATTTCCTGCCGGGAAGCAGCCAACAAGCCCACCCCGAGCTCTGTGCCTCTACGGTTCTGCTCTCCCAGAGGCGCGCGAGCCGCCGAGCCGAGAGGATCGCCGCGCTCCCCGAGCAGCCCCTCCGTGCAGCCTTCGGCTCTGCCGCCGGTGAGCCAACGCCTCTCCCTCCCCATCTGTGTCCATCTGTCCCCTCTCCCACCAGCCCCTCTTGGGACCTGTGGCTTGGCAAGGGCAGGGGGTCAAGGAGCCTCGGGGATGGGGGTCTCCAGCCCTGGGGGCTCACTCTCCTCCCCTCCATGGTTTTGGGAGCGTGTGGGTGACAGCCGTTTGCCTCAGGGCTGATGCTCTTGCAGGAGATGCCTGGCTGCAGCGCTCCCCGGCTCGCTGGGCTCCGAGTGCCATGGAAATGCCCCAGTGGCACTCCTCCAGCTTTCCCAGGGGAACGGCTGGTCTTGAGGGCGCTTCCAGCGGCACGAGGCTGAACAGGGTCCGTGGCATCTTTGCCATGCGGATGCAGCTGTGCTGAGATCGGAGGTCTCACACTTGAGGCAATAAAAGGATGTTAAGGTCAACTGCATTTCCCTTAGGTTTATAATTTTGTCACCTACTTGGAAGTCCTGACAGCTCCCAGCAACGCAGTTGCGAGACAGGCAGAGCGAGGGTGGCCGGACGAGTTTATAAGGCGACCACACACCAAGGGGTCAGGTGTGGGAACAGGGGCTTTCCCAGTGGCACGGAGTCGAGCAGACGTGGTCACTCGAACATTTAATGGTCCGGGTGCCTGACCGCGCCCCAGACGCCTCACAGCCAGTTGCTGCACGCAGGCGCAGAGCGGGAGAGCTGGGGTCGGGATTCCCACAGGCTCCGTGGCGGCAGGACCTCAGCTCCGGAGGTGTCTGGGGGACAGCACGAGCCTCGGTGGCGGGGGCTCCCGCCCAAAGGTTGCTGCGCTTCCAGGTTGTCAGCTCTGTTTCTGCAATGACCGATGTTGCTGAGCCTCGGGGCTTGTGGGCGCTCTCACCTGTCCTTCGTCCCTCCCCTCCGTCAGTCCCCAGCACTGCTTGTCCCCAGTCCCCGGCTGACCAGGCTGTGGGACAGGGGACAGCCACCTCCTGGGAGCACGCGAGGGTGAACGGGCGGCTGGTGTTTGCGGCTTGCATTTTGCTTGGGAGGTGAGGTTATCATCCAGTGTGGATACAGCATCTTCTGAGGGCTGATGTAGGAATTCACCATAGGAATAAAAACTGGATTTAAGAAAAATACAGATGGGTACTTCCAGAGCCTCCCGCAAGGACTGAGCTCTGACAGGGGAGATTGGCTCTTTCTCTGTATTTTCGAGCTGTCCGGCTCAGTGCAGCCACTGAGCCACAACTCAGTGCTTTCCCTTTCCTTGCAGCTACCGGGATGGCTGAGGCGACCACTGCCCCCACTGAGACGCACACTCTCCTGAACGAGTATGGGGACTACCACAACTGGTCTGAGCTGTTCCATCTCCTGAACTACACCTACACCTTCTGCGAGTTCAGCCTGGATGAGAATGTCAAGCGGGTGATCCTCTTCATCCTTTACCTGGTCATCTTTGTGGTGGGCTTGGTGGAGAACCTCCTTGTCATCTGGGTCAACTGGCAGACACGGGGCAACAAGAGCTTGGTCAACCTCTACATCATCAACATGGCCATTGCTGACCTCGGAGTGCTGCTCTCACTGCCCATCTGGATGCTGGAGGTGATGCTGGATTACACCTGGCTCTGGGGCAGCTTCCTCTGCCGCTTCACGCACTACTTCTACTTTGCCAACATGTACGCCAGCATCTTCTTCCTCACCTGCCTGAGCGTGGATCGCTACGTGTCTCTGACCAGCTCCTCCCTCTTCTGGCGTAAGCACCAGCACCGCGCACGCCGCATCATCTGCGCCTGCAGTTGGGTCTTGGCAGCAGCGATCCCATTCCTGGAGGTTGCTCACATGCAACTGGTCAATACCGGCGAGCCCATCTGCATCTTCATGGCCCCCTTCGAGACCTATGACGAGTGGGCGCTGGCGGTCAGCTTGGCCACCACCACCATTGGGTTCCTCATCCCCTTCCCCATCATCGCCATTTTCAACATCCTGACAGCCAGGTTCATCAAGCGCACCAAGCCGGAGAGCAGGAAGCACTGTCTGCTCATCTACGCCTATATCGTCGTGTTCCTCATCAGCTGGCTGCCCTTCCATATCATGCTCACGCTGCTCACCCTTGATGGCAACCACATCATCCTCCACTGCACCTTTGCCCACTTCCTCTACTTCTTCTACGACATCATAGACTGCTTCACCCTGCTCCACTGCGTGATTAACCCAATCCTCTACAACTTCCTAAGCAAAAACTTCCGCAGCAAGCTCATCTCCGCCGTGGTTAAGTACATCCCCAAAGACCAAGGCAGCCAGAAGGGCGCAGACAATTCCTCCTCCACCACGCAGCACTCCATAGTCATCGCAAAGGACAACAACCCTCCCAATTAAGGGGGATCAGACTCTCCCACTCATCACTGGCAAGTGGTTGCGGGGGGGGGCAGCTCCCTGCACTCACTGAGGCCAGTAAGATCGTTTTTCCTGGTGATAAGCAGACACTTTGGTTTTAAACAACACTTCTTGGCTGGCCACCTCCTGTCCTCTAAAGGCAGGGCAGAGTGCCAAACGTGAAATGAGATGGTGCGGGGAGCTACAGACATCTTGCCTCTGATGTGCTGCTGTATCAGATCTATTTAGCTAAAGAAAGAATATAAGAAAGCGATATTTCCTGTTTTCCTAAAGAAACACTTGCAGTCATAAAGTGCATTACTCCGCCTGCTCGGAAGTCTGAACACAAATCCGGCCCCTGGGACCCGACCCCTGCACCTGCCCCGAGCCGCGGGGCTGGGGGCACACGAGCCTTTCCCTTCACCACAAGTTCTTCTGCAGCCCCTGACTTTCACTTACACACATGCTCCAGATACACCGCGCCGCAGAGGTGTCCAGTGACCGCTGCCCCTCTGCCGTGATGCCATCCCAAGCAGGAGAGAGGAAATCCATTCCTTTGAAACACAAACCCCTCCTCCCCGTGCCTGGCAAACAGCTGAAAGCCTGATTTTACAGAAATGAAGGCAACACAACCCTGAGGGGCTGAGCAGGACACAGACCTGAGCTTTAATGAGGGGAGGAACGACTCGAGATCAGCAACTCGTTGAGAGCAGTTTTGCAAACTCAGCAGTAAATTAGCAATGGTTAAAACTGGGTTTGACTGGGCAGAGCTGCTTCCAAACATGACTGGTGGCAGCAGAGGTGGGGTTCCCAGTTCGTGTTTTGCAGCAGGAAACCCATCCCATTAAATCCAGCGTCCTTTAGAGCATCTCCTGGCAGGTTTCTAAGGCCACTGGGTGCGTTTCTAAACGCTGGCAGACTCTGGCAGCCCTTCACACGCGCTCCCTTTCAATCAAAGTCGCACTGAAGCACGCCCCGTGGGAACGTGTACGCGTGCAGAAACCCTCGGAGCTGGAGCACGGGCCGGGCTTTGGCTCTGTAAGAAACTGGAGCATCCGGAGAAAGTTCACCGTTGTCCGGATTCTCCTAAGTCACGTGCTGCGAGTCAAGCCCTCGGCAGGGGAAGGTGAAAGAGCGACAGTCACTGGAAGGGAGTTCATAAATCTACCAAAGGCCTTAAGCTGCTCAAGAAACACATTTTGAAAAACGCAAAGCATAAGCAAATCTGGGGACAGGATGCTTGCAGCAGAGAGCTGAGGGTGGGGAGCAGGATGTCCCGGGCTGCAGGAGAAGCCCGCGACCAGGGGTTATCACGGGACTGGCTGGGAATGGCTCTGCTCTTCACAGGGGTTCTGGGACAGGGTAAATCACTGAATGCTTCAGGACTCCTTGTGCACAGAGATGTTCCTTCTTACTACCAGGGGACCCTAGTGTTGACAGAAAAAGCCAAATCCACCTTTTACATAGAAATATTTTGTACCACAGCTGGGGGAGAAGCCAGTCCCCTCAGACACAACAGCACGCTGTTGAGGGAAGCAACTCACGGCCGTTCCTCTGCCTTAATTATGTTACTTACCCAGTTTCACAACTTGGGAGCGTAGAGCCACTTAGACTGTAAGCCCTCCAGGGCAGAGGCTGTCCTTTGGGTCCGCACCGACGCAGGACCTCGCCGCCTTTGTCCCCTGACCCTCCTGGGCACAAGCGCTGCGAAGCCGAGCAGCCACAAAACTGGCTGGTGAACGCGAAGGCAGCTTCACGCTGACACAACCCACAGCTCTGATCCTGAACCTTCCCCGAGGCTTCCTTTTGCAATACCCTGCCATTTTCAATGAAGACACGGAAGGTAAGTACACAATAACAGGAGACTTGAGGTGTGACATAACCAGGACAGCAACATATTCAATTTCAAGTTACCTAAACATGTAAAGCTTGGTATTTGACCTATTAAACTTGTGGTTTTTTAACTCTCCTAATGCATCTGCAACTTTGTTCATAGACCTCAGGGCCAGAGCGGCCTCAGATAAAACCCTCATACAGCCCCACGCAGTGATCTGGGCTTGAAAGCCAGCAAGTTCTTTAGCCGGGTCCCTCCGTTTCCCTTTAAAGCCTTCACCGCCCCTTAGGGTAAACTGCCTCAGGCTCCTTTAGCAATTACTGCTGTATACCCCTGGACCACCCTCCCAGCTTGGATTTCCAGTGCCCACTGCTGGTCACCAGGCTGGCGATGGGGAACTGGTCCTGTCCCACCAGGTGACCTCTGCCCAAGCAGCTCCAGCGGTGACCGAGACCGGCAGCCCGGGCCCATGGCCGTGCCCAGCAGGCAGGTCACCCCAACCCCGAACCGAGAAAGCCTCGCTGCTTGAGAAAAGCTAAAGTGGCTCTTGAAAACGCCAGCAGCGTTTGCCCGCTGATCTGGCTTGCCAGCCAACAGCTCTGAGCCTGCGAAGGCCCAGGTCGCAGTGAAACGCACCGCTGGCAGCACACAAAGGGCTTATCAAGGAACACAAACCCCGAGAATTTCCTCAATGGTTTCTAACGAGGGCTCTGTCCCAACCTGCTGCGGAAACAGTCTGCAGAAATGCCGGAGTCAGTTCTCCTCGTGCTGCTCCGGGTGCCGGAGGAGGCGGCGAGGAAGAGGCCCCGGCTGCCTGGACTCGTGCCACAAATCCTGCAGAGCACAGCACAGGAGCAGGATACCAGGAACGGCTCACGTGCTTTCCCAGGCACTCCTGAAGAGACAGAAATGCCAATCTGCACATTTAAAGAAACAAGTTGTATAAAGAAGCAAGGTACAAGAGGTCAATATTTTCCATTTTATTATTCTAAATAAAAACCACACTTTGTGCTGAACAATGGAGTATAAAAGAACCCGATGTACAACGATTTTAGACATCTACTATTTGGGGGGAAAGTTTACAAAATATACAAAACTTTACAGCAAATAGATAGTAAACACTTAAATATCAGGAGGTCAGTACCTACTATTAACTTAACAAAAAGGTTAGACAGCAATTCAACTCTTTTTCTTCTGTTTAATTATTCTGTTGAGAGACCTGGATCCTTTGAGAAAGGGGAGAATAAAACTGAACTTTGCAGTTTAGAAGTCGGAGTAAGACCAGTCTCGAAGCACTGCCTTTTGGAGGGGGGATTTTGTGACAGGGTTTCCCGCAAGGACCCGCGACCTGGCCACTCTCTGCAACCGCTGCCGGCACAGCTCACAGCGAAGCATTTCCCTTCTGCGTTCCCCTCTTGCACCCCAAGGATCCCAAAGCACTTTGCAAACACAAGTTAAACCTCACAGCTGCCCCCGGCGAGGTAGGTAAGTGTTGCCCCCACGTTCACGGGGAGGCGGGGGAAGCGAGGCCAGGAGGCGAGCCGAAGGCCACACCACGAGTCAGCGGTGGAGCAAGGGCTCCCACCCCAGCTCCCCCGCCACTGCAAACGGCGCTTGGCCTCCGACACGGAGCCGTGCATGGCTGCGCCCCCAGCAAACACACAGCCCTACGTGTGTCGGAGCTATGGCTCCTCGGGGCAATGCAGCCTGCGGAGGACTTGGGATGAGCCCCATTGCTCCATCTGCAGAGCTTTATGGAGGAATGCTGGAGCTCCCAGCCAGGCTGGCCGGACTCGGGGACAGCCACACCGCCAAGGGGACGGGGACGACAGAGCTCTGATGCTGGCCGCAGGCTTGGAGAGGCCCAGGACCCTGCCAGGGGAGGGAGAGCGCAGGTCTCTGACCCCTCTTGGGACAATCCCTCCGAGGAGGTGCCGCAGCGCGAGGCCAGCCCAGCGCGGGAGCGCTGCAGGTCCAGATCTGTCCCTGGATCCCCTCTGCAGATGGGACTCACTGCTGATCTCAGGATGTTTCACACAGGAATAATTCTTTATAACACTGGAAAGAATCCAAGACACAGAAATGCCAGGGACCTGGTCGCTCCCCCCCATCCCTACACCCAAAAACGACCAGCAGAAAACGAGGTGGGCTTTTGCTTTCCCATCCCTGTGCTTAGAAAGGTGGGCTTGCTTTGCCCAGTAGTGTTTCAGTGTAAAAGCTTCTCTTTTTGGTTTATGTGCACAAAAGGCTTTTGCTTCACAGCTTAGCTAGATATGGGGCTGCAGATGCTACTGCGCAGCAGCACCCCAACCCATCCAAAAGCTCATCACAGCTTCTGGGACATTTTAGGAGGGTCTCAAGGCTTTAAGGACTCAGCTCTCCCAAGCCTCGTCTGCCTCCCTCACATCCTTCATAGCAATCTCCAGAGCAGAGCAGGTCACATCCATTCCTGTCTACCAGCCCATCTTGCCACCACCAGGACAAGGAAAAAACCCCGTAACTCTAAGAGCTCCTCAGAGGAGCCTCCAGCGAACCGCTGCCAACTCCCACACTTTCCTAGAGCGCCATGCGTTCTCAAATTTTTCTTTTTTTTTTAAATGTAACAACACTAGGCTAAACGTGGCTCCAGAGACCAGCTAGAGATCACAGACCGTGGCCTGGCAACTGACGGGCACCACGAGACTGGAGTTTGGAAACCAGAGCTCCAGCGGCAGACGCAGCACAGCCTGGACAGCCACAGGATTGGCAATTGCTTCGGTGCCTCACCTCCTCTGAAAACAGGCTCCAGGCACCAAAATCAGGACAAATCCAGTTTAACGCTCCCCAGGGCGATGCCAGGTGGCCCCAAACCCAGTCAATATTACCGGGATTGGGGAAAGGACACAAACTCCCAACAGCTTCATCCTCAACCTTGTCCTCTCATTCCTCCTCAGCAAAGTCCGTTCCTCCCACCCCACCTCCATGCAGCGGGATCAGCCGGGTACTGCAGGTCCACAGGGTCACTGAGGACGACCCACGCTCAGGACGAAGCAGCTGCCTGGGAAGAGTCATTAGGTCCAGCCAGGGCTCAGCACTGCCGGCGGGGACACAGCTGAAGACAGACTGTTGTCTCTTCCCCCTTCACAGCGGAGCTGGACATGGACCTGGAGTTGCCGCGGTGGAAATGCAG